TATACAGACAAACATTTGGGCTGAATCTGGGCATCTGTAAAGATTTGAACCTTCACCACACTGAGGACAACTCAGTGTTGGAAAAATCATCTAACATGAAAAATAATTTTATTTCTCACAAAATAGTGGTCGAAACAAAAAACTTTTTCAACGTTGTATAATTAAACGAGCCTATATCCATAGTCTGTATCGCTCTTATTTCAAATTTCACAAGATTTATCAAAAAAAATTTTTTACCTCATGTCTCTGCGTTATTAGGTTAGTTTTTCACTGTTTTCCCACGGTCCTTAGCACGAGGAACAAAACTTTGTATGCCATTAAATAACCCATAGTTCGAAGTGTATATCCCACCATTTGAATTAGGAACTTTCGATTTTTAACCTAATGTCCGCCTGAATATCCCCCTGTGAGGAACCTATATTTCCCCTAATTATAAGTCCTTGAGTTGATTGTATGCGTGCGTTAAGATCTGTAGTATTACTCTTTTATTCGACTACTCTTTATCACAAACTACAAAAAACTAACTTCACACAAGAAAAATACTAATATATATATGTACTACTGCATGCACAAAAGATAAGAACCAAAAAAGAACAAAGCGAGGAAAGAACAAAAACGGACAAAGAACAGAACAGAACAACAGAGAGTGATCCTACCGGAAGAAGTACATACAGGACAGACAGGTTGTGACAAAGAATCGTCACACCCCCGTGCTGCATTATAACTTTATAACTGAATTTCAATTCATTGATGCGTAGCAGCGTGTCCCTTTTTGCTTATTAATAAAAGTAAAATAAAGTTACAAAAATTATTAAAGTAAAATTTGCACACACGTCATTTCAGTTAGCTTTGTAACATCATTAAAATACGAAACTGTATTAATTTATAATAAACAATCAAACAGCAATAAAAGAACGAATCTAAAATGAGTTTCTTTTGTTTTATTGCTACAAGGTTGATTTAACGCGCAAATGGCTTGTGAAAAAATATATGATGTTTTTACTCAAGTTCAGAAGAAAAATTTAATTTTGAAAATGCATTTTTGTGCAGAATAGGAAAAAAAGAAACCGTAATGGTTAGAACATGTTGTGAACTTATTTTGCTTTCTGTCAATCACGCATAATTTACCTTTTGTGATGATTAATACTTGCATAAAACATAACAATATTATTTACATCATACAGTGCTAGTTTTGTCATTGTTGTGCAATTTTTCTGATCAACGTAAGCAAAGTTTCCGTATAAAAGTAGCTTCTTTTTGGCAAAGCTAACTATTATCGATCACAGTTAGGTACCTCTCTTTCTGGGTACTTCGCAAAATCTTCCATTTATAATAAATATTTAACTATCCACATGGCTTTACTTCTCACTTATATAAAATAGGTCAGTAACGTCTTAAAACAGACACATCAAACTGCTTTATAAACGCTATTAAACTTTATTTTCTTTTAGACTGACGCAACTGTTATTTAACTGTGCAACAACTGTTATTTAAGAGGATGGTAACGATGCAATCTGGTGAATCATTGACGGTGAGAAGTTAATGTCTTGTATCTCTTACTTCCGACACATAGTAGGTGTCAATTACTATCTTTAACTGTAAACAGTCTCATGCCTCACTGATAAATAATGAAAACATTTATTGGTGTAGAACGTCACTTTTATTCATCTGTCTTAACAAAACATTGAATGGAAAATAGGTCCTTGATTTTCCAATTAATTACCGTCCGTTTTTGAGCTGTTATCTTTTTTGTCTGGCTGTTCAACACTATATATACTCTAAAAAAGAGGACTTCTTCAGAAAACTGAAACTATGTTTTTCATTTTTCCCAAATAGGGATCTGATGTGAGTTTTCTGAAAATTTCCAAAACTGATTTTTTCATTTTCCGGAAGAACAGAAATTCAGTTTTGCATTTTTTCAGGTCCCTATTTGGGACATTTGTTTTCCAGAAAACATCAGGTCGAAAAACACATTTCTGTTCTTCGACTTTTTCATAAATCTGGATTTTAATTCCTCTTTTCACCAGCCAACTTTTTTTAATCAATACGATATCTGTGATCATATGTAGAATTATTGTTTTATTCAGTATAAATATTGTCAACTGGAAACCTGCGCAAGTAGAGAAAACTATGTAACCCATATCTTAACTCGACCGCCATTTGGAATCTCATTCAATCCGGTCGAATCAGATTCCAAACATCGTAGGTACTCGACTCGTTGGTTTCGAGTCGAATTTTAGTCAAGAACAAATATCTTCTCGAAGTGTGCACATTGTTGTACATAAACAGAACTTTTTGAGAATAAGTTTAAGCTTCTGTAAGAAAAGATCATGCCCTTTACCTATATTCGGAATGATTGAAATATGTGATTTTCTTTTCCTTTTTCAACTTCGAGATCTTCGGAAAAGTCAAAAGAAATATTGTGTTTTCCAAATCTTGAAAAACAAAATTTCTGAAAAACTAAAATGAGCCGAAAAACTAAAATGAGACAAAAACTCAATTTTTATTGAAAAATAGAAATTAAGTTCTTCATATCTCAAAGAACTTAAATGAGATATCTTCAATTCGTTCTCTGAAAATACGAAGAACGCGTTTTTTTTAGAGTGTACTTTTGATTTCTCAAACATATTCGATAGCCGTGAAGTTTGGAACGAGTCTGTTCTAGCGCAGTCAACTGACTTTTGTCTCATACTTTTTTTACCATCGATACTGAATATACGATTATCTGGTAGCTTTCTGAACATCTAAACGGTATAAGCAATAGCAGCTGCCATCACAGCAATACCGACGATTGTTGGTGTTTGTGTATGTGACGTACAGCAAGTACGAGCAGAGTATTTTTTTGTTGTTTAGTGGAACAAAAGGCAATGAGAGTATGATATTGTTTACTCGGAGTTTGTATTAAGTTTCCAAGTCCTCATTAAAAAAAAAGAACCCTCTTCAAACCGTTCGGTACGTCTGTTTTGTATTTGTTCTTTAGTACGTATTGTTCATGGATCAGTTTTGTACGTATCAGACGGTACACGATAGATAGTTATCTATAGCAAAGGTGTAGTCTCCATCCATGAAACAAAATTTTTCTTTACTATTGATCTTTTACTTATTTGTCTTTCTGTACTCTTGTTTATTGTTGGCAAAATTGCTTGTTTATAGTGCTACAGTGAGTCCGCGACTCTTTGCATTTATTTTTCTCTTTCTTTCAATAAAACGTTTAAAAGAAATTTTCGATATTTTTTTCTTTTTCGCTCTCTTGTTTCACACACATTTCCTATGCTGTTGTTATAGGCTAATTTCTAACTTTTTGGTTCTTATTCTTACTATTGTGGGCCCTTTCTTAACGATTTTACGTATATGTTTGTTTTCGATCTACTTTTAAATCCCTTACGATAATGTGTTTATAATGAGAATCGACAAATTTGATTAATGCAAATCACATGTTCTATCGGGTGGCCAAGAATAAATGGTCCTCGTATTTTGCTTATAATTTCTTTTCTTTTCAATCCTTAGACTTGATTGTTTTTCCAAAAGATGTGCTGTCAAATTCTCTACAAATTTGATCAAACTTGTCTCTATAAAACGTTAAGGAGAAAAATGAAACGAAGAATACTCAACATGATGAGAAGGACCAACTTTCTAAGCCGAAAGATCGTTTTATTCCACCACTTTCATTGAGTTGGATGATAAAAAGAAGAGAATATACGCATTTTGTAGGCCTTGAAAAGTTCTACCAATCAGTATTAGGTGCACAATGCAAAATCAATCTTTAAGATTTTGGTTACTTTGAGGTGAATTTTGAAATGTTAGTTTTTTCATAGCTCACTTATATTTGAATGAATTGTAAACTGCATAAAGAGAAAGAGCGCACTTCAAAGTACTCAGAAATATCTTTACTTTTATTTCATTGTCTTTAGAGTTCCTTAAAATATTCCAAAATTTGTAAAACAAAATAGCTTAGAAAGTTGGTCCTTTTCGTCATGTTGAGTATTCTTCGTTACATTTTTCTCCTTAACATTTTATAGAGACAAGTTTGATCAAGTTTTGTAGAGAATTTGACGGCGCATCTTTTTGGAAGATTAATCAAGTCTAAGGATTGAAAAGAAAAGAAATTATGAGCAAAATACGAGAACCATTTATTCTGAGCCACCTGATATTACCAAAACCGTTCATGCTAAATTTTGTAACCATTTGTCAATAATGGAATAGTTGTCCATCTAGCAATGTGCTTAGTTTACACATGGTTATAATATTCTCGTCTTTCCTCTCATTTGGAAGAAAATTTTTGATAAATTTATTGCTTAAAATACGTTCGATTCTGACTCGTTTTACACTCTTGTTCACAAAATTGAGCAAAGTATTGTTCAAAATTCTCTTTCATGTGTCGCTCTTTTGGACCTGCTATTGCCACAATTTCTGCTTATATTGATCAAATTACAAACGACTTTCAATGACATCCAGCATCTTTTCGAATAATATCATCATCAAAGTTATTTATGTCTTCTACGAGAGCTTTTAAAGATTTCAAGAGTAATATTGCAGTAGACTAGTATACAATATGACAAGAGGTGTGCATAAGATTATGTAGTTGTTTGTCATATAGAGTTCCTAATCTTTTGAATGCATCTTTCGTATATTGCTGATTCGATGATAATCTCATACTTTAGACTCTTCCTAACTTTAGAAGATCTTTCACTTGTTCTTTGAATGTAAAGTAGAGATGTGCAACCCGACCCGACCCGAAGGTTGGGCACGGGTCGGGTATGGGTTCTATTTTTTTTTAATTTATCCGAAAACCAGGGGGTTCTAGTTGAAAACCCATAAAATTTTAGTGATAAAATACAGGAGTTTAGCTAAAATAGATGAAGATTTAAAAAGAATTACAATGATAATTTGACATCTTCAGCTGAAAAACAAAACTTTTTAGCTCGAAAAAAAAAAGGAAAAAATTTTTAGGTATAAGTCGGGTACAGGTACAAAGTTCTCGGATCGGGTCGAGTACGAAAATGGTACCGGTGCACATCTCTAACGTAAAGATTGATTACAATACACAAAGTCGACTACAGTCTTAGCTTATCGATCATACTTCATCGCTTACAGTAGATATGAATGACTGTCTGCAATCATAATACTGACAAATAGGTAAAACGTTTAATGGCTTCAGAGAAATAAATTGAACTTCTGAGACAATTTTAGGAGAAAAGAAGAGACGATGTCTTTTTATTACTATATTGAATGAAAAATGTATAAGTAGATCTATTTCGGACTAATATTTCTTCGTACTGAGTATTGTACGACTAATATATCTAAAATTTCTCCATAGAAAAGTATAATTTTTGATACAAAGAATTTACTTTCCGTTGATTACATAAAAATACATTCCTACTAACCACTTTCTTATATAGGGATTTACTTTCCACTGATTATCTGGACGAATAGCAATGAATGAGCAAATGAATATTCATTGCGACAATCAATAAATTTCCAAGCGAAACAAACAAACATCAACGAACGATAAACCAAATTTTTAATTGGGAACGAGCAATGTTCAATAACTCTAGATACTGAGTAATGAGAAATGCTGATAACGTAGAGCAGTAATCACGATTTTTAACGTAGTTACTTATTCGGGAACTAGAGTAGTCATCAGCTGATAACCTTTGTAAAAATATGTAAATAAAGGTGTGTATATAAAGGTAGAGATACACAACTCTCTTCTCACACTGTTTTTAACAATGGCTGAATATGTTGAATCTACACATGACAAAGACAACTATGTTGAATCTACACATGACAAAGACAACTATGTTGAATCTACACATGACAAAGACAACTATGTTGAATCTACACATAGCGAAGAAAACCATGTTACCTCGGTTATCAATATTCTGTCAAACGTAAAACTCATAATAGTTTTTTTCTAATAATATATTGGTCGTCGCAATGAATATTCATTTGCTCATTCATTGCTATTCGTCCAAATAATCAGTGAAAAGTAAATCTCTGTATAAGAAACTGGCTAGGAGGAATATATTTTTATGTAATCAACGGAAAGTGAATCCTCTGTAGCAAAAATTATGCTTTTCTATGATGAAAAACTAATTAAAATAGAAATTAATCAACGGCCAGTAAATCCGCGGACAGTAAATTGCGTACTCACTATTTCGAAGTGAAAATTTTTTCGATGGTCTGATGCTTTTAACAAGATTATCTGTCGCAACTGACGTTATACTAACACTATTTCTCTTTATTTTTAGACGTCATCAGATATTGATATTCAAAAGTTATTAGAGTGTTCAATATGTTGTGATTATCTTCAGGAAGTTCGTGAAACACCCTGTTGTCATATTTTACTTTGTCATTCGTGTTTAACATCATGGTGTAAGAGTTCAGGCTCGAATGCCAGTTGTCCTGGATGTCGTACAATACTCAGTACGAATCAGTGCAAAGAAAATATTCCGATTCAACGTTTTGTCGACAGTATGCCATTTGATTGTCCATATAAAATCGATGGATGTTCAGCTCGGATACCACGCTCAGAATTAGAAAAACATAAAAAATTATGTGAACATCATCCGACAAATCTCAAAAATGCACAAAAGACAAAGTTAACAAAATTAAATCAAACAAGAGATATGTTAGCTAAACGATATGACGAATATAAATCGATGAAACAACAAAAACAAAAGCAAACTGTTCGTAAACCTCTTGCAACTGAATTATATGATCTTGCCAAAAAATTTCGTATTGAATGTGAATATAAACTGGCTCAAAAATCGATTCAAGAGTGTCTGGATGTTATGGGAAATGACAAAGAACTTGAAGAATTAAATATGAATGCTAAAATAGAAGCAGCAACTATTGAAAAATTCCTTGGGCAATATGATAAATCTCTTCAATTATACGCCGACGCATTGATGTTGGCAAAGACAAAAGTGGAATTAAAACAAACGGTTGTCGAATTACAAATGGAACAAGGACATATTTACGTGAAAATGGGAAAGTATAATGCGGCAAATCAAGCGTATGAAAATGCTCTAACGACGACAAATGAATTTGACGATAGACAAACAAATAAAATATTAGATAAAGCTCAAATATTGAATGCAATGGGAATAGTGGCAAAAAAATGTTCAGAGGTTCGTTTGACAACTTTTAATCAAATAAAAATCATATTCATCGTTGTGTTTTAGTATGACAAAGCTATTAAAGCGTATACAGAAGCAATGAATATAGTTGATGAACAATCGTCATTATGGTCTGAAATTGTGTCAAATTTAGCTGGTAAAAGACATAATCATCTGTTTCTTCTTGCTAAATCAGATCTTTTCTCTCTTGTGATGAACAATCATCATATATTCTACGAAATTTGCTCTTTACTTTTAAGATGTTCATCGTAAAAAGGGATCATATAAGGAGGCACGTGATTTATATGTTCATTCATTGAAACAAATGGAAGCGTTGCACGGTAGTAGTCATCCACAAATTGCCGATATTTACAATAATTTGGCTATGTTAGCCAAGAAAGAAGGAAAATATTTGGAAGCTCTGGGATACTTGAAAACTGCCTTAAAAATAGGAAAACATTTTTATGGTGCACAACATCCATCGATTGGAATGTATTTAACAAACATGGGTGATATTTACAGAAAAGTAAGTTATAAAACTACTTTGCTACTAAATGTAACTCGTTTATTTTGTTTTAATAGCAAGGAGACTATACAAAAGCAGAAGTTATCTATAAAGAAGCCATTTCAACACTAGAAAAAGCATTAGGTCGAGATCATGTCGAAGTAGCTGAAGTTTTAAACTCAATGGGTTTAGTACTGAAGAAAAGAGCAGGTAATTTTTTTTTCAATAATTATTTTACCGATTATATGGCACATTCTTTCATTACTAAAGATTATGCTGGTGCTGAAGAATTGTACAAACGTGCCATTTCAATTATTCAATTAACGTTTGGAAATCAAGAACATTACAAACTGGGAATTTATTTAAATAATCTAGGTGATTTAGACAGAAAACGAAATAGATTTGACTCAGCATTATCAACTTATGAACGTGCTTTAAAATCGATTGAAAAAACACTGGGAGCAGAACATTCGGAAGCAGCAGAAATCATGCACAACATTGGGCTAGTTAAACATCAATTAGGTATACAGAAAATATAAGAGAAGAAGCGTTGCAACTAAAATAAACTTCTGTCTGCTTTCAGGTGATTACAGCGAAGCTTGCAAACTGTACGAGTCTGCCATGGCTATAATAAAACAAGAGTTTGGAGATAAACACTACAAGTATGGAATGTATATCAACTCGATGGGTTTGAGTTTAGCTATGATGGATGATTACTCCCGCGCATATGATGCTATGAAACAATCATTACAAATATTACTTCAAACATTGGGTCGTGATCATATTGAAGTGTGTGATGTTTACGCAAGTTTGGGCGACGTTTGCATGAAATTGGTGGCAGAAGGTAAAGAAAAAGAAAAACAAACAAAATTAGACGAAGCAAAGAAATATTATACGGAATCATTGAGAATCGTACAGGGAACGTTTGGCGAAGAACATACAAAGACGAGACAATTTCAATCACTCTTGTATATCGTTGACAACTATATGGAATTAGCATTTATGGGAACAGGATAAACGTATCAATTAGTACTTTATGAAGAAAACTGTTGAACTTGTAATATATTTAAAAATGTTTTTTCAAAAATTATTTTTATTCGTATTTATTATGGCTTCGTTTCTATGTATATTTTCATTGAATACACTTCGTTTCAATTACAAATATGCTAATATCATTTCTAACAACAAATAGATATCTATAGCTCAATGAAGACGACGGTGCTGAGTTGGTCCGTGGACTGATGCCATTGGCTGCATGAAAAAGTGATTTTTGGTGAACACTTGATCGGATGAAAAGTTCACAGAAATTCACTTTCGAGCTTTTAGTGATAAATCTAAAAGTCTCGAAGTTTCGAACTAAGAAATCAAAGTTTCGGCTGGATCCTTCCGCTTAATTCTGAGAAAACCCATATTGAGGGCGCTGTTTTGCTTTTTTCTCAGAATTGACTGGAAGAATTCAGCCGATCTTTTAGATTTATCGCTACAAGCTCGAAAGTGAATTTCTGTGAACTTTCCATCCAATCAATTTCAGTGAATTACTTTTTCATGCATCAGTCCACGAACCAAATTCAGAATCGACGACCAATAATTTCAGTTATCAGCATACCAAATCACATAATAGAAAACTATTAAGTAAGAGGATATCTCTTTTCGCATATGCATATCTTTCTGTTCTCGTTCTTTTCTATCGACGTGCTGAGACGAAAATACGTCTGCATATGGGATATCTAAGGTGGAAAGAGATATCTCTTTAGTTGCTACCCAATAATGACAGAACAAGCTATAGACTTCATTGTGAAAACACACAATCATTCAGTTGTTTTTTCTGGTATTGGATAACGTCCCGTGTCAAAAAAATTAGACGATTCATATCAATTCAGTCAGATTTTTGTTTTCTGTCTTAATTTCACAGAAAGTTCACAGAAATTCAGTCGCGAAATTTTAAAAACGTGTTCTGCCAAAGCTGATTGCAGATTCGGACTCTCCATAATCAGTTACCTTGTACAGAATAAGTGTTGAGCTGGGGTACTCTCAAAAATTTTCTTAGTCTCATTCAGTCCTTGGTCGCCCTATGCAGATGAAAAGTCGTTCGAGGGGTGCGGCGGTTACTGGAAAATAGGCCCTCGTCGAAGGCTCGACTCGTCGGAATACGTAGATTTGTAGAGTTTATTCTCTGATTAAAGTAAGACATAGCATAATTCTGTACGACCATCAAGTTACTAGTGTTTTCTTACAAGCCTTAACATGCTTTAACAAATGCACGGCGTTTTTCTCAAAATCGCTGTTTTCAGCGTTTCCATTTTCCAGATTTCTCCTCTATCTGAATTGCTCTTATCTAATCTCTTTGGTTCGTCTTAAATAACTGAAAGACTTCTGCCTGTCACTCAACAGAGCCAGATTTTTGTTTTCTGTCTTAATTTTAGAGAAAAACAAAGGTTTACAAGAAACTAGCAACGCTTTTTTTGAACTTTTAGATAAAACCCTTGAGAAAAATAGCTATAACAAAACTTCGAACATCTGTCTCTGATAAATCATAGTTACAAGCCTTCTAGTTATCTAAGACCAACCTAGATCTGGTAGCACTTCAGATAGAGGGGAAATCTGGAAAATGGTAACTCCTGCTCTTTGACTATTATTCTCATATAAAGATATTTTATGCCTCAAACACGTTTAGCGTCGCTGTCAGAGGCGTTTGAACGCGTCCAGAATGGAATATTTGGAGGCGTTGAAACGCACCCGGAACCTATTTGTAACCAGACGCGTTTCGATGCGTCGAGACGTTTCATTCTGGACGCGTTCAAACGCGTTTTTTCAGTTTTAGTAAATGCAAATATTCACATGGGCTTTCAAGATGAACTTAAATATTTACCATAAGCTAATCTAGTTAAAACTAACATTCTATGAAGATTTCATCAGGATCCTGTGTGTGCGGGAGAAATAGGCCCAAAAAAGAGATTATATTTTCGGAAAAATAGGTGTTAAAACAAAACACAAAAGGACAAAACTGATCTTCTGCAACCAAGATGGTTACAGATCAACTTGATCGGTTCCGCAGCAACAATCCAATATACTTCTATTTCAAAATTTTTTAATGTTGAAATCAGATATTGAAATTCTATTGACGTCAGTTGAAATTAGTAGATGAATTATTTGATGCTGAATTATTTCAATAACAGATTTATGATGATAGTTACTCTGACTGTAAAAACGATCGTAACGGCAGCCTGACCGTTATATGGATCTCATAACGCATGCCTTTACAGGTAAAAAATGACAAAATAAATCGTTTTTGCACCTTTTATATTAGAAAACATTGGAACACAAATACATTGACTAAATTCATCTTAGTCGATACAAAAGCAAATGTCAACTTTCCTGTAAAGCATAAACTTAATGGCGGTCGAGAATGTTGAATATTTTCATATGTACTATTTACACCTGGCGTGTGCACGGTAAAAAAAGTCACGTTCTTTAAGCTTTCCGAGAACTGCAAAACAAACCAAAGTGAGTCTTTCATTTATCTCATATGTAGAACTGGTTTTTAGCTCTTCATGAGTTCCTTTACATAGCAGGACACTCGTATGAGTTTCCTGAAAAAGCGAAGAGTGCAAGATGTTATGTTGAGCTCTTCATGGATTTCAAAACGAGTTTCCTATAGAGGACACAAAAAGCTCATTTTTTCTTACAGTGTGTGCTTTACAAACATGTTTAACAAATTGGACTCTTTTATAAAAAAATCTAACCAGTACCTATAAAGATATTTATTAAGATTTTTTTATTGCTGTTGGTCTTGTGGGTCTCACATCCTCAACGGTTTTTGACAATTCATTAATTCGAATGTCTTTCAATTGTAAAACATGCTCTAATCGACGTATTTTTGCATGTAACACTTCAATTTCTTCTTGTTGTTGTAAATTTTGTTGTCTAATTTCTTCGAACTCCAGTCGTGGGACGCCCCTCTTCATATCACCTTTCGTGAGTCGTCCGCCACGTGATGTCATTGAATGCAGAGTTGTAGTCGCTTTTGTTGTTCGTCCACTTTCATATGACATTTGTGAGTGTCCACCTTGTCTGGGAGAATGTTGAAATTTTTGTTGTAAATCTAGTTCTTCGTCAATTTTTAGCCTCAAATTGTACAGTAGAACTTCGACGAGACCCGGTTTTCCATTACAAAGACCTTGTATTATGGTCTCTGGAATGTCTAAACCAAAATGACTCAGCACACGTTTATTTAATGTACCCCAATTAGCTTTTTTCTGTTGGATACTATTAGCTGGTGTATAATTGTGCATTTCAACTAAATCAGGCAAATAGTAACGGATAACTTCGGCGACGAGGACTCCTAAGAAAAGAAGTACGAACAAATAATTACCATTAAACGGGAAGAATGTTATTTACGTACCATCAGAAAAATCTCTTTCAATTCGTTTTTTTAATCGTGATAGCGGCAAACTATCAATCCATGTGTATAAATCTTCTAAAATTGTTTCATCTAATTCCATTTCCCATACCATTTCTTTTCTTTTAGTCTATCAATACTAAAACAAACAAGCATTTGAATTCATCAGGTGAGCAATATAATTTTTGGCCTGATTCCAATGATACCCATCAGATAAAACAGACTATAATAATAATCATCGTGCTACGGTCAAGATTCAACTTTGAAAGTGACGATTCGGCCTAGATTCAATGGAAATGAAACTTGTTTTACCTATTTGTTTTCAAATTTAATGCAATATATTCATCGTTTCCATTGTTGAACAATTCTGTCTTCTTTATTTTTCCTTTCTTTTTCGTTACTGCACGTTTAACGTATTAAAATGCAGACGTGAAATGTAGAATGTTAAAAATTGTAATCGATGATTTTTCTTTTATTTAAACATGCACAAATACGATCAAAACATAACTACATCAACTTTATCATTCAGGAGTCGGATTGATTTCAAATCAAAGAAAGGTAGAAAAAGACAAAAAAAAAAAGAAAATTAGTTTTTCCTTCTTGTTTCTAAAACAGAACAATACAAGAATAAATAACACTGTTATAGAGCTAAACATGATGCATGATGCACAGCGATGTTATTAAGTCATCAAATAATCACGTCAGGTTCTAATCGTAAATAATCGTATATTCTTTTGAACTCTACTAATAACTTGCGTTTTCACTTTATTTAGAGTAGAAGGTAGCTCTGATGGAAGCTGACTCTTCTACTCAGAAATTAAATTTATATTGCAAAATAAAAGAAGAATTTTTTCATTCTAATGTTTTAACGTTGTAGTAGAGATCCTAAATTGGCCTTAAATGGAGACGACGATCCGTTATCTCTGATATCAGCTATTCCAACAGCAGTTCCAAACTAGCATTAAAAATACGGGTGAACAACTGACATTATTATTTATCAAGACGCAAAATCTCTAAATCAAAAATAAGAGAAAACGAACAATAGTCAATATATAACGTTTTTGAAACATTGAGAAAAAAACGGCACTTTTTTTATGCGAGACAAGATGACACGGCTGGAGAACATTTATTTTACGATACGAAACGAGAACATTACGAGACAGGACAAGACGTCCAAAAACTTCATTTCACCTGTCTCTATTACACACAGTCATGTGCTATAGACTTAACTACCTTTCATGTCTTGTTTCTTGCTTGTTTCAGATACATTTGTCGGTAGACATCAATACGTTTATCTTCTCGTCTTACTTACAATACAAATTGTATGCTCTTCTTTTTATTTTTGACGTACTGGCTGAATCTTTTTCTTTCGATTATTCTTTTCGAAGACATGAAGGATGCATTCGGTCATCCATATTTAGAATCACCGTGTACTCGTAGTATATATGATTTTCCATATGAATGAGAATCTATTTTTGAATTTAGAAAATATGTTTAAAAGTATTACACAGAAATATTACGAAGAAGAAAAAAAAATTAAATAATATTTTAACCAAAATAGAAAAGAACGAAAAATAAAGAACACCAATGCATATACATCATTTATTGTATTGTTAGTCAAGAATTTTTAATTCTGATATTTTGTTTGTTCGTTTTTATTGTTCACTCTAGCAAATAAATTTTGCAAACAGAGTTAAACGATTAGTGAAATAAAGTTTTGAATCTCTATTATCATAATTTTGTTTCGCTACACACTTTCTCTGAACGAGTAACTAAAACAAATTATTTATTGTTGTAACTTTTGTTCATGGTACACTAAAGCTATTCTCTATCTTTGAAGTGTGTGTAGATAACACGGATCAGAAGACCAAAACAAATAGTCTATAATTTGTTAGTTTTTTTACTAAATTTTTCTAACGTCACGATCCTTTAACGATTAACGCACATTTTTTTACGGAAAAAATACACCTTTCGCCATTTTAGGTTTTTTTCGTTTTTTTTAAATCATTGTATACGGGAAAAAACACGATTAATAACAATATATAGTTTTTAAAATCAAATGCCTAGGTTTTCTATGATTGTTTTCGTATTTTTGCAGTAATCTTGGGAACAAAAGATGTTAGAAAACTGTTTAAATAGTTCTTCACTTGAAACTCCGTTAAATTATTCATAAAAACAAAACAATCTCTATTCGACGGAGGTTTAGAAGAATAGTGTTATCAATGGAAAAAATTCGGTCTTCTATAAAACACGCGGATATCCTTGTCAGATAAATCTCAACAAAAACAAGTCGAACGCCAATATTTAAGGGTACCCCCTATTTGGACCCCTCTTGAAAGTTCGGGAAGCCAGTGTTTGATCAGAGTGAAATTTATGCCAGAGATAAAAGATCGAAAAAGAAAATCGATGTATTTTTGCCCAAAATTTTCTGACATGTTCTTCTATGGGTTTTCTGGAAAACTCTAGTTTTTATGATCTCACGATCTCTCGAATAGTCTGATTGAGCTCAACATTTTACGACAGATCGGACCTATCTCCGATTAGATTTTTTTCTTTTGGAAAAATATGCTTTCGTTCTCTAGATATTCGAGCAAATACTAAAAATCCTGTATAAAAAAAACAGTTTTTTATTTTAGCTTTTTTAATCCAAAGTTGAAATCGAAACCGCTTAAAAAAAACGAACCTGAGATAGGGTCTAAAGTATTTCTGGTAAAAATTTTAGCTGGATCGGACCATTTTTGCGGGGGGGGGGGGGGGGAATGGGGGTAGTTTGAAGGAAGTTTTTTAAAAATGAATAGTGGGAAAAACAAATATTTTTTGGTGGGGGTT